TGAGGAGTTGTAGTGGTACTGCAGATGTGGTGCAGGATAATTTTCCCTGCATACTCGTGAGAGTTACTATCGTCGTCTTGTGGAAGGGGGTTATGTCATTTCATGCCCTGTATCCCTGTGTTTGTCGGTGTGTCGAGGCAGGGAATGACTCGAAAGGACGATTTCGCAGTGCATGATTTAGGGGTTCGGTATTTAATTTCAGCGGGGGGAAATATAATCGGTCTATGGATGTTCAAGCTTTGGTTGTTGGAGTAGCGAGACTTGATATTTTTGAGCGTGGGGGAATTCTCATTTGCGACGTGGTGTCGTCATCCTTATTTGAACGCATTAAGGTTTGCCGATGTTATAGTCTTCTTCGATTTGCCTTCGAGGCAGGGTGTTGTGAAGTGGTGCCTAAGAAGCGGTTGTCAGAGATAGCGGAGTGTCGCGGTTTTGAAATCGAATTGGTATTTCTAATGTTGATGGCTCGAGAAAGATGATCTTCTATGAGGTTTAGAGTTGGTAGCAATTTATTAGTTCATGTTCTACAGGTATGGATTTGGTTTGAGGCAACATTTGGGCAGAGAAGTATAAGGAAGGACATGGCGGGAGGTGTCTCGTGGTGGTTGAATTACAAGCAGGTCAAGTATGAAAAGCAGAGGTCGAGAAGTTGCTCAAAGGAGATGGTTTAACTGAAGTGAGAGTTGCAGATTAGCATATAGATTCTGTGGTAGGATAGCCACGTGCCTTGAGAAAAGTTTAGAACGATTTGGGAATTATGGTGGGAGGTGACTAGGTCCACAAAGTTTTGTTTGAGATGGAGGCTACTGCACTGAGGAAGATTGAATATGGCAAAGAGGAGTTTGCTTGAAATGGAGAGGGGTGTGAAAACTTTATTATCATTTTTGGATGCAACGTGACTTCGAGTTTGGAGCGTATTGTCGGACTTTCAGTCGATGTCAATGGGGAATGAACAGACTTGTACAACTGGTGGACGAGTATGGGCTTAGGAGGGTTTACTGAATTCATGGTAGTTGTACCATGTGCAGTGTCGTTGGAAGATGTCGGCATGGAACTCTACAGGTGGGTTATCTCCTGTGAGTAGGTTAGCAGTTGCGTGATGTTGATGAAGTTTCTACGAAGAGTTCTACTTACTACCTAATAAGAGATCGAGTGTGCGATTGTGGCTGATAATTCAGAATGTTTTATGAAAAGCTTAGCAAAATATTTCGAGAAATTTGGCGGGCTAAAGGTGCGAGATCATGGTGATTGAGAAGGAGAAATCTTTGTGGGTTTTAGATTTATGTAATTATAGCTTAAAGCTAAGTGGGGGAGCCCACTATCTACGATTGGAGTGCGTGGTTGTATGCTTATGTGGTTTCTGGTTATCGGTGCAATTGTGGGTTATTATGACTAAGAAAAACAAAACATCATGGGTAATTCGAGCGAAGAACTTGATGAATGTGTGCTATACTTGGCCTTATCGATTCATGTGCAGTTTTGTGAAGACTCAGAGTTTATGCTTCTTGTGGAAGTGATGTACAAGGAAGAGAATTTAGCCGATTGCTTTTTTGAGAGGGTGTTCATGTGCTAGAATCGCACTAGAGTTTGGCTTATATTTGGGACCAAATCAGAGTGGGTGACTCTTAACAGTGGTTCTAATGGGTTCGTTATATAGTTGAAGACCGGGATTTTGCAGCAAAGAGTGAAGAATTGTCACTCCCCGACCTTGGGGATTACGACCGGCTCTCAACAGAGTTACCCTGGTCGAGCAAGCCTGCATAGTGCCGTCTACCCAACTCACCCATGAATAAAGAGAAGAATACATTTCATTAATTAGTCACTAAGAAGTCATGAGAACAACACCTGTTCATTTACGTTAGTCACGTCCTTAACAAGTCTTCAAAACAGTACATTGTACAATCATGGTTAAAGTGGAACAGTTTAACCTTCCCAAAAAAATAAATACAACCCACACTATGTCTACAGAGCCTCTAACAGGAACAAAAGAGTGCTATGACAGCGCCGGCAAAAAAGCCTCGGCTATATGTCACGACCCAAATCCACGTGACCGGCACCCGGCACACTACCTGACCCGAGTGAACTAACACATATGATTCACCCAATCGTATGGATGAAAACCAATTTAACTATGAAAGCTCCTTGAAAATCATGTATATTTTCAAGTAAAATGATAAAATATTTTTCAATTCGAAATCACACATGACACATTTCATGATAATAATAATGAGACTAAGTAATATAAAAATATTTTCATGTATGTCATGTACAACCCCGTTACTACAACCTTTCACAACTATCTATGGAGCCTCGATACCAAAGAATAGAATTAAACACTTGGGCTAATACCCGACTAGCATAAATTAAGAAAAAACAACATGATAGCTACCACGAAATAGGAGTGGTGCATCACCATATACCTCAGGAAGAGAGTCATCCTAGTCCCGATCGCATGCCACGTATCATACCTCATCCTAAAATATGTAAAGTAAGCAGGGCCCTAGAGGGGGCCCCGCCCCTAAGGGCTGAGTACACCACAATGGTACTCAATAAGTGTCATAGACTCTCTCTAACTTAAGTTCTTGGGACAAACTTTATAAAAATAATGCACGAATATTTGATATAAAACGATAAGAAATTTTATCAATTCACGACCCTTGTCATTTTAAATAAAAGCCAAGTGAAATATAACCTACAATATAAACTTTTAAAATATTTACATCAATCCAAGATTTTGGACAAAATCATACAAAACCATTCCATTTGCTTTAAGTCATTGAAATCACTTTCGGCTACTTAGGCCTAAACATAAGAAAATCATCCTTACCTTTCACTGGGAGTACTATACCATCACCGACAAAAGGAGGTCAACTAGGTTATGTACCTAGCGGCAAGTATCATATACCCTACTTGCTCAGGTCGTCACATCGTAGTGCCGTATGAATCGACTCAACCATGCTAATAATAGTTAAAAATAGTACTCTATCGAGGGAGAGCACTCAGTCGTAGTCTATACCACAAAGTGGGCATCTACGCCTATACCGGCACGTGTAGTTTCATGACAACGAACACAATATATCCGAAGTCAATCTCGGTGAACAAAAGTAACTCCCAAAATATTTGATACTTCAAAAATAGATTCATAGCATAGTAGCTTCAAAGGATCTCTTTTTATCAACTCATAGCATTTATATAAAATCTAAATCATTTGAACAAAAATTAAATAAAAAACCTTTTACATGCTAAAGCCTTTAGCAATTTAACATAATCTTTAAAAGATGCCACAATGCTATTCTGTTCGTCAATTTTCAAAAGAAATACTTTCCTTGAAAACTTATCTTTAGCACTCAAATATGTATAATCTTGTCAATACGTAAGTTTTGATAAAAACTTATAACATTTACCTTGAGTGTCATTTTTCCAACAAGGTTTAAAATAAAATTTTATAAAACGGCATGACACTACATATGCAACATAATATTCTAGTACATGGAGACATCCGTACTTGTTTGTCCCCTCAAGCACGAAAGCACATCTGCAAACAACTTAAGTATTAACTTGAAATATGATTTTAGAGAAAGTCCTTCAAGAAGAGTAAGTTTTAATCAACTTACCTCGCTTTCGCTTTATTAACTCCCACAAGCTTTCAATCCTCTTCCATCATTCCAATATTGATTAAAATGCCCAAACATCACCAACAAGTCAATATCTATAACTATATATCCTAATTACATCAAAATATGACCTAAAATATTGATCAATATCCATATATGGCTCATAAGTTGGCTACAAGCCTCCAACAAGCCAAATCGCCAAATAGATTTACAAGTTAGACCATTCAACTTCATTCTTATATTTTAATACCCATTCGAAATCATTAATGATACTACATCGATTGTCCAATGCCACCAAGTTAGTATTCATCGTCTTTCATAATCAACACTTGCAAAATATACAATTCGGGTGATTACTTAGTTGATCACTTCCAACTTTTGCTAACAAATAACTCCATATGTTCATTGTATTCATCAATTTCATCGCCAAGATTCATACTCATCTTCTCTCTTATTTTCTCAAAAGTACTATTCATGTCATGAACTAGAGTTTTATAATCCAATCTTTCAACCATTAAAACTTGTAACAAATGCTTAAAATACTTCTAAATACTCATAATAAACGAGTTTGAAGCATTGAAATTACCTCTAGTAGCTCAATCTTGAAAAATCATAACTTTGGTGATTTTAGTGTTCTTGAGGATTTGATAATGAAATCTAGCATTTGGATGCAAGAATGATGTTAGAACTCATGTATATTGCGTAAGAATCAACCCAAAACATCATTAACATCTTACCTTGGTTGATTGGAAAGATTTGATTTGAGCTTAAAATCGCCCATTCACATCAAGAACCCTAACCCCCAATACTCAAAATACTCTCCTCCCCCGACTTTCTATTTATAGGCCCAGATTTCTGGGTTTCGTACACGGCCTCGCTTCACTCCTCTTCAAAGCTTGGATGTGGACCTAGATGATATGGCAACACTTCACTGCCAGCCTTTCTTTCGGACGCGGCCTCGGATGCTTCGTATACGCATACTCCTCTGCCAGCCTTTGGTAATTTGGTCATAACTTCTTGCAAGAATGTCCAAATGACAAACGGTTTGAAGAGTTAGAAACTACACTCGAAGATCTTTCATTTTCTAGGTTGTAAATCACATAACTCCTTATATATATATATATATATGTAGATATGCTCGTCCAAAGTTTGATCTTATGCGTACTTATTTAGAACTTTAGTCTATCATGTAATTTCCAACTTGACTTGGACTTAGGGCTATCCTTAGACCCCATATCACTTATAATATGCCTCGTACACTTATTATCATATCCAATTGATATCCATCATATTAATAGTCCTCGTCTACATACAAAATAATATAACTAGCGCACATCAACTTTCTTAATAGCGCTTAAGTACTTTGAAATTTTTCCAGGGAGCTACACTATACCTCAAAATGCTATGTTCAAAGGATAAGAGATACAGGATCCCGAAATGAAGTGGGAATTACCAAATCAGCTGAAGAGAGGGTGTGCTGCTATCACTAATCAATACTACCTGCTACGGAACAACCTGCACCCATTAAAGATACAGCGCCCCCGGCAAAAGGGACGTTAGTACATATGGAATAGTACTAGTATGAAAAACTAAACACCCTCTCAATAGAATGAGTAACAGTAAACGGAGAATAAAACATGAAATCAATAATAAACCCAGACAGTAACAAGGCGTCAAGTTAGGGGAAAGGTAAATTTCAAGTAAATCTTAGTAATTTAAGTTGGGAGATCTTAGCACCGATACACCACCGTATTTTAGTACGGAGTCCGATCTCAGCCCGACCGGCTAAGTCGTCTCACCCCGAGACATATACTCACAATACCACCATGTGCACAGAATGGCGTCCGATCTCAGCCCGATCGGCTAAGTCATCTCACCACAATGCCGTATGGGTCGACATCACATCACATCTCGCTAGCAACAATCTCATCCCATTTAAGGGGAGACATCTCAACACACCAATCTCATCCCATATAAGGGGGAACAGTCTCATCACATTAACACGAGGATTTACCCTTCAATTACTCCTACACCGACACGTGTAGTTTCGGGGTTACGTTATTTTGACCTACTCTTCCTTGGTGGCTAAACGATACTCCCAAGGTATTTATTATCAAAAGTATTTACCACTCCATTCATATTCCTTTATATGTCATTCATTATATTGGTACAATTGTCCATAACGCAATATCATTCTTGCCACATTGGCCGTACTTCATAATTCATGCTTACTATTCCACTTTCAAATACTAACACGGATTGTCAACAACAAACATTTCTATTCAAGACTTTAAGCACACATTTGAGCAATTTAGGGTCTTAAGCACATGTGATTTCTTACACAATTTGATATGATTACTTTCATTTGGGCTTGACTTGAAGTCTCAACATTTTAATACATTCTCATACTTTTGAACATGCTCCCGGAGAATAACATAACATGATAAGAATACTCCGGAATACATTTTGAACATATTCATATAAATACATCTTTCGACACCAAACTTATTCATAAAAGTCAATTCATAATGGACAACTCGGGACTTGCAAGAACATTGTGGGAATTCAATTCTAAGAGAGAAGTTTAGTTAACATACCTTGCCTCGAGATTTTTAAATTACTACAATGTTCCAAAAATATTATCCACTTTGATCTATTTAGAGATATAGTAAAATTGAACACAAATTAGGAAAGAGTTCATAGTTCCATCTCATTTGAACATTTTGTCAAACACTAGGTGTGCATTAAGGTTTCAAGGTCCTCCTATGGTGGATTCTTTCACCCCACTATCCAAAGTTCACCCAAAAGAGTTCAACAATCCTCCCATTACCCTTGATGGTACATGCATGTAAAAATAAACAACTCCCACACCCAAGAATTGCTTGGCATATTACCTATTTTCAATTAGAATCACGAAATTGAGGGTTATGGAGTAGAAACCTACCTCTAGGATGAAGACCTAGTGAATTCTTCTTGCAGTTTCTTCAACTTTGAGTAAGAATTGATGGATGATGAGTTTAGGAACTTTCCATCTCACTCCTTGGCACTCCCTCTCTCTAGAATGTATGTTTTTAACCTTCTAAAATTATCCCCAATGTTATTTTATAAGAATGGGGTCGGGTCTAAAAATTAGAAAAAATGAAGCCCCGACGCAAGTCTGCGATCCGCAAAATGGGTCGCATAATGTCCCTCCGGAACTGGGCAAGCCTGTCCCACTCTGCGACCAGCCTGCGGTCCGCAGACCTATTCTGCGGTCACATAATGTGCCGCAGAACTTCCCTCCGAAAACTTTCATGTTGGGTCTGCGATGAGTTATGCGGCCTGCAAAACGATTGTGCGGTCGCATAATGGTCAGAAATTTTTGCCAAGTTCTCTGCTTCAGTCTGCGGCCGATATGTGGTCCGCAGACCAGTTTTACGACTGCAGAATGGATCGCAGAAATGCCCTGTATTTCTAAAATAAATTCTCCAACTCCCTAAAAAGTTGGACTCCCTAGAAATGCCCTGTATTCAACCCAAAGGGTCTGAACCGCAAAAATTTCAACAATCAACAATGCATAAGTCTATCCTGGCATTACGAAACCCGGGTTTAAGTGAAATATTTACGGGGCCTTACAAGAATACTTGGGGAATTTTCTATCGTATCATCGGGTCTATGAGGCAGTATTGGAGAAAATGGGAGAAATAGTGTCGGATTCACGGAAGGTCTTTCAGAATGGGTGTACCAGTTTGAGATGCTATTGTGCGCATGAGGAGGGTATGTGATGGTTCATGGGTATTGAGACGATGTGGTCTCGTGAATTGGGTCGCTCGGGAGGAGTGCTGTTGAGTTTCGTTATGTTCTCGAATGGAGCTATTATTATTTCTAAGGCAAGTCAAGAGTAAAATTGGAAGAAGTTGGGCCGGTCAATAATGGTTTGAATCAGCGTGATTGTGGCAATGATCATTTCCTTAGGTATGTAAGCTATGCGGGTGATCTGCGGCTGTACGTGCGGGCTTGACAACCATCGTAATTTGATTGATTTGGAGGTATTTGATTATAATGGCCTTGTTATGTGTAAATGGATCCCGGAAGAGTTATGATGGTTTAGACTACGGCTTGAGGTTTGTATTTTCTGCGGTTGGGGGATACAGTTACGTGTTGCAATGGTTCTTTTGAAATGAGTTAAGTAAAAGGTTCCTAGCCAATGGAGTGCTTATTCTACTAGTAGTTCGGGAGTTATGATGAATTCTTGTACTCTCACGTAGCATCATGATAGGTATAGTAAGTGGCATGGGAATTGAAAGTGAAGGATCAAGGTTGCGATTCAGTATTGACAGGATTGTTACGAGCTCAGATGAGCAGGGAAGAATTCATATGTTCAGAGTAAGCTGACATTTTCTTTAGTGTTACTTGAGAGCAGTGTTCTGTGTAAGAGGCTTTGTGTATTGATTTGCGGATTCTTGATTGCTTTACCGAATTAGTACGGTTGGTGGTATGGAGGTGCAGACTTTGCTACCTGGTGCGGAAGGTTGTGGGAGCGTACCTCAGGGGGAAATTGTATAAGTGTGGCATGTTAGTCACTTGATGGTTATAATTGGAACCAAGTATGAAGATTCTGGTACTAGCGCTAATGTAAGAGTTTATGCCTGAGAGGCGTTCTATTCCTTGGGTGGTGGACTGTGTAAGTTTGTTCCGGATTTGAAGGTTGTTCTTATGTGTCATGGATAAGGTTATTGTGGATCCTTGAAAGGTTATTAGCCCATTATAGTATGATCAGAATCGGCTTGAGGTCCGTTGATGGGTCTAATGTGAATGTATGCTCTACATCAGGTCGGATATGTTCATTCAACTTAGCATTGCTTATGGAGGAGTATTCGAGCGTTGGATGTTATTCCCGTCGTCAGCTATTCCATATAAAATTTTATTATGCCATGTGGGTTGTGAGACGACTTGATTATTCGCACATGTGTTGTGATCCCGTGTAGCTTGTGGTATTATGTGAACACGATGGCTCTCGAGATGCAGGTCATTTATTGCACCTTAGTCGTGCTTGGGTTTTGTAGCGTATGGCGCTATCCGTCTCCCCAGGGTTGTATTTTTGCACTTGGCGTGCTTGTGGTCGATATTCGGGTATTTTGTAGGTATGAGTATTATGGCTTGATGGGTATTCCCTTATTTACTATTATGTGTGGATCGGGTGGCATGACGCCACGGGTATGTTGTTTGGATCGGGTTGCATGTCGCAACGGTATCATGTGTGAATCGGGTTGCACGCCGCAACAGCGAGATGTTGAGTATGGTTCCCTATATCTATTCTTGTGCATTTTGTTTCTCATTCTCTGAGAAGGGTTCATAGCATCTGTTCGACCATTTTATTCGTTATGCGGGCTGGGTAGTTCTTTTCCAGAGTTTGTTCCTCCTTATGTGTCATATTCAAGTTGTGGCTTGTCGGCACATCGATGATGTCATATGAAGTCTTGGCCAGTGTTTGGGGTGGCTTATTGCATGAGCATCTTGTACTGGGTGAGACGAGATTATTGGACCTGAAATCAGTGCAATCAGATTTATATAAGTTATATTAAAGAGCAAATATCGTTATTCAGTTCAGAATGAGGTAATGGTCCTTGTCAGGAGGAGAGACTCCATGATTTGTTGATTCAGCAGGTGGTTATGAGTTTCTACACATCTTTTCCATCGTGGCAGTATTGCGAGAGTTGGAACATCGCTTATATGTGTTATGAGGTATACTATAGGCTTCGGGTCAGTGAAATTGCAGTTCTTGTGCTTGGAGGGGGATTGCCTTGGGCAAATGAGTTATGCGGTGCATTGTGTGATGTCAACATGGGTGCATGATCATGTTTTGGTATAGTGTGTGGTGATTGATACGGTGTTCGTATGTTAGACTCAGGTCTTGTAGAGGAATTCAGAGGTTGGAATTTGGTTCTAAGGCTTATTGACTAAATAGAAGGGAGAATCTTCCGTCTGGCTCGAACTAATGGGCTCAACTGGGTTGTGGTGGCACGGGTAGGTGCACAAAGTGTTAAACGGTGATTTTGAGGCAACTCCGGAGCAGTTCTTAGCACGTTCGAGGATGAACGTATGTTTAAGTGGGGGAGAATGTAACGACCCGACCAGTCGTTTTGAGCTCTAGCATGTCGTTCGGCAGTTTGAGGCCTTGAGTAGCTTCACTTCATGTATTATGACTTGTACGCATAGTCGGAATTTAATTTTGGAATGTTCGGAATTGATTTGGAAAGAAAATTCTAAATTCGAAAGCTTTAAGTTAGAAAAGTTGACTATGGTTTGAATTTTGAGTAAACGACCTCGGAATCGGGATTTGAAGATTCCAATAGGTTCGTATGATAATTTCGGACTTGGGCGTATCTTCGGGTTAAGTATCGGGTGGTCCAGGAGCATTTCGACGCTTATTATGGAAAGTTAACATTTTAAAAGTTTAAGAATTTCTTAAGTTTGATTTGAAGTGGAATTTGGTGTTATTGATGTCCGTTTGAGGTTCCGAGCCTTGAAATAGGTTCGTATTGTGATTTATGACTTATTCATAAAATGGGGGAAGGGGAGGTATTTCCACATAAGCGGAGGAACGTGTGCAAGTGTGAAAGCCTGCCCGCAGATGCGGAGGAGGAGAGGCCTGAAGGGAACCACAAAAGCGGAATTTCTTGCCGCACCTGCAGAACTGCAGAAGCGGTCAAGTGACCGCATGTGTGATGATCGCTGGGCAGAAGACTTGTTTAAGTATATGGGTTTGACTCATTTTCATTTCATTTCTTCCATGAGAGCCGGACTTGGAGCGATTTTGGAGCGCCATTTTCATCGCCAATCATGAGGTAAGTAATTTCTACAAGTTGTGAGTTAAATATATGAATTTGTGCTTGTAAATACATGAAAATTTATGAAAATTGTGGGATTTTAAGAGAAAATCTAGAAATTGGTATTTTTGAATTTTTACCACAAAATTGGACATGGAATTGGGAATATAAATTATATATTTGAGTTCGTAATGTTATGGGTAAAGTTTATCTTCGAAATATTTTTGAAATCTGGGCCCGAGGGTTGACTTTATTACCTTTTCGAGCGGAGTTGGGAATCATTATAAATTATTAAATTGTAAGCATTGGAGTATATTTTGATTGATTTACACGTTGTTGGACTAGTTTCGGGACGTTTGTCTTTGAGTTGAGGTGTTAGAGAGGCGTTGGAGCCGGTTATGAAATTTCGGAGCGAGGTAAGTCTCCTGTCTAACTTTGTGAAGGTGAAACTACCCCTAGGTGATGTAATTGTTATGTGTTAATAGTTGTGGGTGCTACGTACGCATGAGGTGACGAGAGTCTGTACGTAGCTAAAGCATGTTTACGACCGGGTAGACTTAGGACTTTACCATGTAATACTTGAAATTTTTGAATTCATTCACGTGGCTTAATTTATTGAAAATATAATTGAATTTGATTTAGAAATATATACATATATATTAGGCCGAGCCTTATTACCTTGAGTTGTTGGCATGTTATTTGAGAAACAGTAAAGTTTATAATCACCTTGTGTTCATATACTGTATTGTAAGCTCGTGTCTCGTAATTCGATAAATCCTTTCATTTCTTGTAGAGCGGGCCGAACGTCTTATCAGGATTATGTACCACACTCTCATGGGAATGGGTTATTCGCCTCGGTAGTATAATAGATGCATCTATGGTTCGTGTTGCTCGACCCTCGACAGTGTACACGATATGATGGGATCGGACCGATCGCCTCGGCAGTATCATACTCTTTTTGAGATCTGACTGCACTACCTCGGCATAATCGTGCGTTATATCTCTAGCAATCCGAATATTCATGAGATTTTCCGTCCACTGATGCCTTGCATTTTATATGGTATTTCTTATCCATTTGTTATTGACACTTGATATTTCTGAGCTATTGAGATAGAATACGAGATTGAGAAATTGATATCGTTAGAAAGAAATTTTGGAAGAATGTGTTAATTACAGTTTCACCTCACTACTACTGTTTCGCTTCCTATCTATTTATGATTTACCATGTTGATTTATTGGACTACTAGTAAGTGTCGATGTCGACCCCTCGTCACTACTTCTCCGGGGTTAGGCTAGATACTTACTGGGTAGACGTTAATTTTCGTACTTATGTTGCACTTATGTACTAAATGTGCAGGATCTGACAGGTTCATTTGGTGATCATCTTGGCACGTAGGCGCAGCTGTTGAGGGGACTTTATGTGAGTTACATTCCAGGCTACACATCTTAGTCCACAGAATCTCCATCGTATTATTTAATTTATCCTGTCTCATTTATATTCTAGACAAATGTTGTATTATTATTGTATTTCTTAGTAAATGCTCATGTACTTGTGACACTGGGTTTTGTAGTATATTAGTTGATGCTTACGGTTCTGTATATTATCATCGCCTATCATTTCTCTTAAAAACTACAATTTTGTACATTCTCGTGGATTTAAAAGTGTAATTGTTTTTAAATTTATGATTTTGAAAGTAATAAAATGAGTAATTAAATTGATCAACCACCGTTGGCTTGTCTGGCGGCGGCGTTAGGTGCCATCGCGACCTATAGTGGATTTCGGGTTGTGACAAACACGACCTTATCAGATTTAAAAAAAACCTTCACCCTCACTTTTTCTATTAATCCCATAAAGACCAAATTGGCTCGGAAAGTAGGAACATGCAATACATCATTCAATGCCAAAGTTTTGCCAGATGTGAGTTTGAGAAGAACTTTGTCTTTTCCATGAACTCGAGTAGTCCTTGAGTTACTAAGATATACAACTTCTTCTCCTTGCTCAACTTGGGTGTAAGACACAAAGTCTTTTGTGTTAGAACATATGTGCCTAGTAGCACCAGAATGTAAAGTCCGGGGCTACTTTAACACTCTTTGAAGTCCAAATCGATGACTAATTGATTGGAAATAGGAGTAAAATTGTCATGTCCAAGGATACTTTAAGGTCAATATATGGGTTAAGGAATAAATTGAAATCAAGTTGGTTTAGTATAATATTTTAAAGATGGCAGAAATATGAAATTGCCAATTAGTATTTTGGCTACGTAATTAATTAATTATTTTCTATGAAAAACTAAGGGAGTAAAGGATTATCACAAAGTGGGCTTACAATTGAGGTTACATGTGAATTACAAGCCTAGGCCAAAGACGATGTTGTACACCAGGGCATTCTTATGCTTCTTTATTTGACAATTTTAAAAGAAGGAAAATACAGCAGCCAGGTCACGAAATTGAAACGAAAAGAAATAGGGTTTTAGCAGCCACTTAAGGATTACCAAATAAGGACAGTAAAATAGCTTTACTGTAAGTTATTCTCAAAACATGAAGCATAGGGGGAGACATATACATCATTGTATTTCACTTTTGGTAGGAATGAGATGGAAAATTATAGGGATTTGAAGAATAGCTAATGCTTGTCACTTAAATTCCACCACGACAATTTTTGAAAGGGAACAAAGTGATATGGATAGCTTACAAGTCAACAACGAAAATCCCAGCAATCCTTGAAGGATTAGGTAGAAACAAATCGCGAGGTCGAGGCATATTAACAATCAAATGTTGGCGGTGGACTACGATGGTTTAGTATTGAAATTCTTGCATCAGATCTTTAAGTTTGGATTCAAGGTAAGTTTTAAAGATTTCTCTCCTAATAGGAAATTCTATTAGAACCCACGTGCTATATATATTCGATAAAATTCCTATGCTATGTCTCCTTGTGCTCCAGTATTCAGTTTACTCTATTCTTATTCTTATTCGGTAGTATGAAAATGTGACAGTCTTATATGCTTACATATATTATCAATTATTAGTTGACGTTGTTATGATATTTTCATTTAGTTTAACATTCATTCATGCATTAATGTGATCATATTCAGGAAGGGAGAGCTAGCTGACCTCACCTTGCGTGAGTGCCACGAGGCCAGGGTTAGCTACCCCACGCTCGTAGGGGCTATTGTTTGCTGGGGAGATTGGCCGACACTCCCCCGTGCGTGTTGCTAGATCTCACGTACGTAGGGCCACTATATGTAACTATTTTTCAGAAATGTTATTTCATTAAAAATACTTAGTTTTTACCTTAGGTTTCAATTATCAATTATAGACTCAGTTTTCATGTTTTCAGTTATGAGCTTATAGTTTTAGTTTTCAGCTCATTTCCTGTTTATAGATTTTGTTGATATGAAATTGGAGTTATCAACTTATAGTTTCAGGTTTTAACTCATTTCTTGTTTATAGATTTTGTTGATATGATATTCTGTGAAATCACTTCATTTCACATTATGATTTTTTTTCCAAAAGGTCTCATTCTGCCTTTTTAGGAGGTAGCCTATGAAACTTACTGGGTATCCTTTGGTGGTACTTAGCCTGTTTGAGCCTGTCATGTCATGTGGTAGGTGTTGAGATTGTAGATGACGAGATATGTGGCTAGAGACATGCTCCGTAGACTCAATTGGCAAGCCCATTGTTTCCTCCCAGCGGTGTTGGTGTCCTTTTTAAGTCTTTAATTATTGTTTGACTTTCATATTATTCTAGGGAAATGCCCCGTAGACGTATGTATTTAAACTTACAGATAGAGGCTCGTGACTTTGCTAGTGGGTTCAGTTGTCAGACATGTTAATATTAATATTAGATTTTAGTTTTCAGATAATTATTATTTTAAGACTTATTTATGAATTTCTTCGATATTATGTACATCGACTTTCAGTTAGTTAGAATAAGGCTTGCTTGACAGGTAAGGTAGGTTGAGCGTCATCACGTCCCACGTAGTTTGGGGGCATGACAAGTTGGTATCAGAGCAGCCAGGTTTAGGTGTCCTAGGAAGTCATGAGCCGTGTCTAGTAGAGTCTCACTTATGGGTATGTTGTGCACCATACTTATATTTGGGGAGGCTGAGGACATGTTAGGAAAATTTCCCTTCTTTGATTCCTTAATCATGCGTTAAATCTTAAAGTACGGATTTTTATGCCACTCTTATCAATCTCATGAATGATTAGCATATGCGACGCGATCAAAGAGCGCAAGACTCGATAGGAGAGTAGTAACTCGAGTTATTTGAGATACAATTAAGGAGATGTCAGCTAAAACTTCGAGAACTAGATGAAATAGGTAACCCTGAATTTGCAGTTTAATGCTAAGAGCTTATGTGGAGGAAAGTGGGGTGGCATTATCAAGACTCGAGGAGAGTTAATATTAATGAAGCGAATATGAAAATATCAAAAAGTATATTGACGAGTTTCATTCAGGATTCGTTTGAAACGTTAAGACGACCAGTCACGATGACAGCCACCATAGATGACAAGATACAAGATGGTGATCGAATAAGAAATTTCTTACCTTAAGTTTCTATGTTAGGATCTTGAAAACGCACGCGGACCAATTGGTGAAAGATAGGCAAATCAGCCAAGGTTGCAATGAACATCCTGTGGCTCATAGAAATGAGATATGATTAGAATAATAATAGACATGATTATGAATATGATTAGTGGTGGAAGGGAAAAAGGCATGCCAAGGGGAGGCATCTCGAGTTTCAGGAGGGAACTAATTCAGGAGGGAACTAATTAAAACCTTGGATCCAGTAGGTCATAATCTTGACCGCTAGAATTCTCATACTACCAGTTAAGACCACTCATGTTCACACTAGGGCCAAAGTTCCCTACATATCACTAAGATAATGACTCGCAACACTTACTGCATGATAGTAATATGATAAAGTAAGGATTTCAGGGGGGACAAATCAGAAACCTTAGCACATTGCAGCAAGTTATGAAAAGGTATAATTTTTTATAAGCCTACGAGAGTTAGATATATTTAGAGTAGCAGTATTTTTGCGAACCTACAATCATAAGAAGTGTGTCATATAAGTTTTCCCTGTTATCAACTTATATTAAATACTTATGATGAGAAATTAGTGAATTACAGAACCTGTGAATAGGATATAGTTATATAAAAGGGCTACGAGCAAATAATTCAATTTCAGGAAGCATACCCCCAAGTACTCAATTTAATGCCTATGATATGAAAGCTTACATCTATTTAATGCATGTGTGCAGGAATAATGTTCATTGGGAGAGCATATGTTTAGACAATTTACATGACCATTTAGGAAGCCTTACTGCTCAAACCTATTAGAGCATGGATAAAGAGCACAATCATAGAGAAATATGATAAAGGTAATCACTAAGGAATAATTGGTTCAGCAAATGGCTGGCTAAGGAATGAGCAATGAAAAGAAAAATATATAAATGTGGCTAGCAATTACGTAGTGTTGTAAGGTTAAGATTGAACGAAGTAATGAGGGTTTAAATAACTATGACCACTCAGTCCTATCTTCACGTGCAAAAACAAAGGGGCAAACTTGGTGATGAAACATAAGCTTTTAGCTTGCTCAAGAAATAGAAGTTACCGATTTATAGTGCAACCACGCACATTGATGGAAGAGTATACAAGACACCAGTAAAACAAAGTGAACGGTGGATTTATAACTTAGTAAAGTTAATTATGACACTATGAAGGGTATGGAGATATCTGATAGTTACTTACTCCTATTAAGAGATGAGTTTCACCAAAAGAAATACCTTATGGTGACAATTCAAGAAAGAAAATTCCAGTTACTAGAGGAAAGCCATTGACCTCCCATATATCAGTATGATGCTAGTGTTACAAAATTATATTGAAATGTCACAAGCTCATCTATAATGAGGGTGAACGTAGGTTCGAAAATGAAAGCACTTTCTACTTTTCGGCGATCAGTAGCTTGGATAAGATAAAAAATCTGAGTACAACTATAAAATAATTAATATATCAAGTCAATTTGAAGGTTGGAAATTCACGAGTAGATGATTTCTTATGATGTGCCTTGCACACAGAAAGTGAATGTTCTTCAATAAGGGGAAATTAAATTAGTCACTCTATATATTATATATATATGTATATGAGGTCCGTTCAGTTAAGAGTAGGGCTACAGATGAGATACCAGTTCATGTGGTAAAGAAAGGATACTAGATGTGCAGAATGAAGGTCCTAATTTGAGGATAAGTTTATGATTAAGCTATATGAGAATAAACCCCACGGGGAAGGTACAAGATACTGTAGCTAATTCAAGGACACGCATGCATCTAGAGGAGAATGTGAAAAAGAGATGTGGTGTAACTCAGAGTTATCACTTGTATGCATTTAAGTATAAATCAGTAATAGAAAGAAGTTTTGCAATGAGTCATTGTGAGTTTACTCCAACGTGATCCTTACAGTTGGACGATAGTTGTTACATACGAGAGTGCTACCCCATTAGAAATTATAGAAAAAGTCATCAAGACCAACACGATTTACAGTTATAAGTTTTTCCTCAGTTATCAATTATACAGTCTCTTAGTTAGCAGCTTTACAGATATTCAGTTTACCAGTATTAAGTTATCTAGCAATTGGCTTTATACTTTTCAGTATATCAGTATTCATGTGAAAAACATTGAGTCCTTTGAACGGTAAATGATAGTTATATTCCTGAAGTGTAGCTAATGTATAGCGGCGAATTTCCTTTGTATATACGTACTGAATAATAAGTTATACCAGTAGCGAGAGTGAGAATAATGCAGTACGAAGATCCATACTTGATTAAGTTTAGAGAAAGGATTAAGAGGCATGAAACCACATTGTCCGCCATTAGAGCGGATGATGGCATTGTTTGAGGTCTTATGCAGGCGACAATATATATCACTCATTAAATAGTACGAACCTTGTGAGACAAATGATAGACTAACTCCCTCCTCTCGCTCTTGAGACAATAAGGAAAGGGAAGAAGACCAAGAGGTTTGAAAATGCTCCAAGTACTTAAGGTCCTATAAGGACCAATGAAAGCAAAAGTCTAAGAGAATTTATAAGAGGCAATTTCATAGTGTTGGAAGTGTAGTCATGAAAGTTAACCTGAGCTCTAAGAACAAAGTAAGTTGTTAGTTCAGTAGGCCTTGTCTAAGTTGCTCGGACACGGATGCGGGTGTCCGACATAGGTGCGAATCTAGAGGTCGGATTCTTCGACATGTAAATTCTAAGATTCGGGATACGGATTCTAGTACGGATATGGGTGCGGGAATCCGGCTAAAAATAATTCAAAAAAAATAAAAATATATCTAAATTATGAGGAATTTGGTGGAATACTTATGTATAGCTTGTAAAGTTGGATTTCTTTTTTATTCTCAAGTTGTAGATAAGTAAAGAATTGATTTCCTGAATAAGGTATGCTATTTTCTTCAAATTCGCCCTAGTTTTGGTTCTGATTTCGGGAATCAAATTGTATCCCGTATCGAATTTTTCCGTCTGTTGCGGTCAAAGTATCCGGTACGGATCCCATAGCCACACCCACACCCATACTAGTGTCGTATCGACACGGGTACGACACCTAAACTGCCGAGCAACTTAGGGCCCTATGAAATTTCCAAGAAAAGAAGAAAATGAAAAATTTCCTACGGAATAACCTTCATCTGCAGTGACTCTATGTTCGTAAGAAGCCTTGATGATACTTGCACAACCCATCACATGCTGTTCTTCCAGAATGGTACGAATCATAAGAGATTGATAGAAGATATTAATCACAAACCTGGATAGAGAAATTTGTGCATTGAAACCGAAGGATGAAATTTTGATTAAGAATAGCATGGTAGCAATATAATCTTATGGAAGCTACATGAATTAGAGGAGAAAATAAAAGTGAAGATATAATCATGTATTTATAAAATTCAGGAATTTAGGTCTTTAAAGTTCATGAGATTCATATAATTATGTAATGAATGTATTTTCTGTTGTTCATTTTGAACCCTTATGTGTTTAAAGTGATGACTTAGGACTTTTGACATGATATATTGGAGTATCATATTGACGTATGCTGCTACATAGAGTAGCTGGTAGTGCTAGTGTTATTGCATGTTTGGACTGGTTAGTTTTTTCTTTTTCCTTTTTTTGGATAGAACTCAGGGGCGGACCCACATGGTGTCGTCACATCCTCCTTTTACCCGAGGGGATAAGGAGTTTTTCCAATTAAAGTGTCATTATTCGAAATGAGATTATTTATTTAATCAGAGTCGCCACTTGGGATAATTATTATGGTGTCCCAAGTTACCGGTTTATCTTAAAATCCCAAATCGAGGAAATTGACTCTTATTTATAGTCCGCGAACACAGAAGACCGGGTAAGGAATTTTGTTAACGCGGGAGAAGATGTGAGGCACTCCCGAGTTCGGTGGTTTTAGCACGGTCGCTTAACAATTAATACTTGACTTAATTATCTGATTTATTACATGTTTAAAAAACCTATTGTGCATTTTATCTTTTACCGCCTTTAATTAAATAATTAACCTCTTTTAGTATTTATGGAATTTATTTGAACAAGTCGCGATGTCGCGCACTCGTTGTTTTTGTATATATTGCAAATCGTGTCACGTGAAACGCACCCGCGATTTACAACATATTTTATTATTATTATTATTTAAAGTTATGGTCGAGTCACGTGAAATGCGCACTCGAATTGGGGTTTACGTATCGTGACCATGCCACGAAAACCGTACCCATGGCCACGATGATTTATTGACTGTGCCTAAAGCAAACTACGAATGTTTATGTATTAATTATTTTCCTAAAATTTGAGGTTATATGAAGGTCCAAAGTTGCGAAATTTATTGTGGAAAGTGTACAACAATTATAGAAGACATTTTTACATTGTAGGGCTCTTATAAAATAGTATTTATATTAATGTTACCATATTTAGATTATTCCAATAATAGCACATTTTATTACAAATGCAGCATATATAAATAAAATACTAGTATTTAATATATTTATTTTTTAACTCTTCCTAAAAACAAGGGATTATGTTTAAATTCTTATATCTTATTTCTCTCTCATATTAAATAACCGTTGAGAAGATTTCTCTTCTCTCTTTGAGAGAAGTTTCATGTCTTCCTTTATTTCAGTAGAAGTTCTTCTCATCACTTATCAATTTTATTTTATTTTTTCGAAAATGATGCTCAAATACTATTGTTGCTTTCTCACAAACTTCGACAAATCACTCTTCTATCAAATTACCAACGCAAGAGTTAAACCAAATGTTTCTTTCTCCTCATGCTTTTTATTCTTTAATGATATATAATTTGGTGTAATATACAGAGTATCAACACTTGCCACACAATCAAGTGTTCAAGTATAAAATTCCTTTCTGATATGGCAGATTTTCCCAAATATTTGATACAATATGTATGTTTTAAAATATGGCATATTAAATATATACGTTATATATACTTTATACCTATAATATACCACAAATATTACATAACAACATCTAAATTAAAAGCATACCATATTTATACGATGTTTTAAATACATACAATTGAGTATGTTTTATAATGAAATTATACCTCTAAAATATATTTATACGAAGGGAATTTTTGGTATTGTTTTTCCCTATATTTAATTTTTGTGGTGGACAGTTTTATTTTTTCAGCAAAATATACATTTAATATATTTATAATATATTATATTGTAAAAGTTTTATATAATTTTAATATTCCTTCAATAAAATAAATCATTATTAACTGAAATTATATTATGGATATAATGTAAGTAATTCATCAAAATATTTCACCTATTACTCTTCTGATTCCATCAATATATATTTGAATAAAATAATATAACGTAAATTATACTGTGAATATTATGTAAATATTCTATTAATTTATTTCACCTTAAAAGAAAATTAAAAGAAAGACAAAAGGCCAGAAAATAGGAGAGTTAGTGTGTTAGTGACTTGACTCATAGAATCTTGAATGAATATGTATAATTTCTGTTAGAGTGACGAGAGCAAGGAAAATACGAGAGTTTAAATCCCTCATATCACAATATAATCTCAACAAATTAATCTATCTCTCATATTAACAAACTATATATTTAAACTTCTGTAATTGTTTTTGCATTTCAATTAACAAATAAAAAGAAGAAACCAAATCATGAACATTTAAAGCATTTCCCAACAAATATGGAGAGTATCCAAAACATAAAATGAAAAGATGGCAACATTTCAAACCAGAGAGTAAATCAAAACATACAAGACCATATTAATATGGCCTACGCTTTATTCAAGCTTGACATGAGCTAGTACAAGATGAAGAAAAATGAAGATCCAAATCTAAGAGTTCATAAAAAACGGACCTTAGTTAAGCAGGGAGTGATTTTAACACTCGACAGACCATGGACAAGACCTTAACCGAAGCTCCGGCAGACTCGATTGACCTCGCCGGAAATTCGAGACTCGCCGAAAAGGCAAACTTTGAACCCCGAATTTTAAAAGCCTCAATTCGACTCCATCGTGGGGGTGATGCTCGGTTGTTGTGGGTGGCTGGACGTTAGAGTTTAGGTGTTTGGCTGGAGTTTCAAGCTACTTCACGTTGGTTTGGGGTGTTTTGGAGCTGAAGTTTGAGGCAGTTTCCATGGAGAAAAGCTATTGGTTTTCAGTTGGGAAGAAGGCTCCTTTAACGGTAGAAAATAGTATTTTTATTGTTGGAGAAGGAGGAGGATTTCTGGTTTTTCCCTTAAGCTGATGCGCCTCTTAATGGGAAGAAGATGATGGCTTCTGTTTTCTTATTTTATTTTCAATTCCATCCCCTTTTTTGTGTGTGAGTGAGAGTTATATAGGTGTAAGTAAAGAGACTAATTGGTGGCCAAAAAAAAAAAAGTGTGTATGGGCACTTGTGTTTTGAGGGATAACACGTGAGTTTGTTACAAAAGATAAGAAGAGTCTTGTCATATGAAAATGATTCATTGGTTTTTACTTTAATTAATATTTTTTCTTTTCTTTTAAGAGTGTAAATTAAAAATATTAGCTAAATATTTTAAAATCAATTTTTTTTGTGTGATTTTTAATTTTCTTAAATAAAACCTACTAAAAATAAAATAGTTAAAATATGTAGATTAAACTTAAATTATTTACATACTAAAAAGTATTGAAAAATTTCAAGTATGGTAAAAAATTAGGTGCTCACAGTGTCAAACTTCGTTGAAAAATTATACTATGCATATTGAAAAATTATATTTAGGCACATATCATTTATATAAAAAATAATAAATTGAACCCTTTTTAAACAAATATACTCTTTGTTTAGGCGGTCGAGTTGGTTAAAAATGTTTGGAGGGTGCCAAGTTCGAATCCCATTTCGTCCATCTTCCAATTAGTGTGTGCAACCAATGGCCAAAATTGTGTGTTTGATATTAACCAGAGTCCTAATATTACTTTTCCACTCATATATCATTTTACTGTGTTACTTTATCTTTCTTTTTTGCCAGAATACAATAAAAATTATTCTATAGTTTAATTTGCTCAAAAAATCAAACCTACCTACAAAGTAAAATTGGTTCGTTGTTTCTTAAAATTTGATAAAAAGCAAATATATTTGTTGAAATTATTTATAATTAGTTAGTTTTATTTAGTTTAGTGACGTTTATTTGTTTTATACTGAATTTTCTAGTTTGGTATATAGCTCCAAAAAGTTGTTACTTGAATTAGTTTAGTATTTATAGATTTATTCTCTCCGCTATACAGATAACAACTTCTTACTAGGAACAAAGAAAACTTTAAATATATTTAAATAGTTTAGAGTTAACAAATTTTTGTTACATTGAATTTCTGGAAGTAAAATTTGTTAAATTACTAATTATATTTCTACAAGCAGAGATAGATAAATTTGTTTCACTACTTAAAAATAGCAAATTTGCGACCGTCAAATCAGTCGGAAATCGGTCAAAAATCGTATTTTTCTGATGGATTTCCGACTGAAAAGTGTTAGTCGGAAGACACGTGGTCGCAATATATTCGCGACGGAATCAGTCAAAAATTTGCGACGGATTCAGTCGCAAATTGAAAAATACGGGCACATTTGAAATTAAGCCATTTGCGACGTAAATTGAAGGTTGCGATTGATTCCGTCTGAAACTTACAAAATAAAATTAATTTTTATTTAATTATTCCGACTGAATCTGTCGTAAATATTGATTATTAATTAATTAAAAATATAGATATTTCTCCATTTGTGACTGATTCAGTCGCAAATGTTAATTAAATTTTTTTAGAAATTTTCAATTTGTGACTGAATCAATCGCAAATCTGGGTAATTCCTGGTGAAATTTGTGACTTATTTAGTCGCAAATCTGGGCATTATTAAGCAGAATTTTGCTGTATTTCTAATTACACCACCTGCCAAATAAAACAGCCAACTAAACACCTAACAACCAAACAAAAACCTACTATAACAATCCAAATCCATTATTTACTACAAAACGAACAGTAATATTTATAACAATTCAACCAACTAATTAATCAAACAACCAACTATCAAACAACATAAATTACACATGTCTCTAACTTCAACTCTAAAACATTCAAATAGCCTATTCAGAATCAGTCTCCTCCTTAGATTCAGACTCCATTGCAACTCCTTTCTTGCTTTTCTTTTTTAACAATTTTTGGATCAAAGCGTGAGTTGCTTGAAATTCTTGCGACATTTGATCCACTTTTTGACGCATAGCTTCCATGTCTTCTTGGAAAACTGATGCCCCAGTGGATAATGGTGTTGGTTGACGACTGGAGGATGGCTGTACTCCAATCCCGTAGACTCGACCTTTATTTATTATTTTCACGAAAAATAAAGAAAAGAAAGTAAAAGAAGTAAGAAAATAAACGCGCAACTTTCAAACTAATACCAAAATAGATAATTACATAATATTTATACCTTTATTCACGCCACCAGTCGCATGTGTCTCAATTGTAGTCATATCCTTCGGGGTCGGCTGAGTTCCTTCAGGCTGAGTTTGTCGCCATGCATCAAGAACAATATGATACTTGTTCTGAAATAAACATAATACATGTTATACATCCATCTACGATGCGCAAATGCCATCTACACAAACAAAAAAAATTAGAAGTTGACATATTTATTTTATTTATACTACTTACTAAGTTATATTCTCCCAAAGATTATCTGAATAGTTTAATTATATATTTTACTATAATACTTGTGTGGTTTCAATATTAATATGTACATTAAACAATTGTAAGACAAAAAGTTCTAAAACATAAAAATTAATCTAATTTATTTCAAATTAGCATACGATAACGCGCTAATATTTAATTGATTGCATTTTCTTCATTTTATTTCAATAATAAATAATATAATTAACACATAGATAGAGCATGGAGAATTTACAAATGAAAAGCCGAAACATAAAAGTATTAGCACTTAAGTTATTTCTTAACTAACATAACTTGAATGTATAAAAATTCTAACTCTTTAAAATATTTTTCAACTCTAACTATTATAACCTAAATTATACGAAGTATTAGCACTTAAGCTGTTTCTTTAGTTATTTCTTATATAAACAAGAATTATTATATTGCAAAATATTTTAACAAGTATTTTAAACAAGAATTTTAAAGAAGAATTTATATAAATAAGTATTAAACAAGAATTTATATAAAGAATAAAAAATAGCTAATTAATCTAAACAAGTATATTTTTAACATCACTATATACATATTATATTGCAAAAATTATTGCTGAATCATCTATACTATATTGCAAATTATATAGCTAATTTGTACTTACTATTTTGCTAAATTAATGCAAAAAAAATCTGGAAAATGAACCAACGGATCTGCTGCCGAACCACCACCGGAGGGGAGATGAGACGCCGGATTCCTGCACAAAAAATGAATTAAAAAATTTAGGAACAAAAAGTTTTNAATATATTTGTTGAAATTATTTATAATTAGTTAGTTTTATTTAGTTTAGTGACGTTTATTTGTTTTATACTAAATTTTCTAGTTTGGTATATAGCTCCAAGTTGTTACTTTAATTAATTTAGTATTTATAGATTTATTCTCTCCGCTCTTCAGATAACAACTTTTTACTAGGAACAAAGAAAACTTTAGATTTATTTAAATATTTTAGAGTTAACAAATTTTTGTTACATTGAATTTACGGAAGTAAAATTTGTTAAATTACTAATTATATTTCTACAAGCAGAAATAGATAAATTTGTTTGTACCTTTCAAAAAATATTTTCAATTTTGTTAAAACTATAGAGTGCTAACTTTAGAATAACTTCATTTTGAAATTGTGTTAAGACTAATAAATATATAAATGATCAAATCTTGGTTGTCATACTCGACACCATTTATACTATTGCTTGTGCTCGTCTTTGACTGAACCCGCTTATAAAAAATCCTAGGTCCGCCACTGATAGAACTAGTTACAAAGAAAATTCTTCAGATTTTGTTTTTGAAATTTTAGGAGTTAACCAAACTTCGAGTTTCTAAGGAATAAGTGACAGTTGCGTAAGGCTTAAAATCTTTCTTTTAGACTCAAGAACAAATACAACACAACATTCGAGGACGAATGTCCTTTAAGAGGGAAAGATTGTAAAGTTCCGGGCTAGTTTAACACTCTTTGAAGTCCAAATCGATGACTAATTGATTGGAAATGGGAGTAAAATTTTCATATCCAAGGATACTTTAAGGTCAATAAATGGGTTACGGAATAAATTGAAATCAAGTTAGTTTAATATAATATTTTAAAGATGGCAGAAATATGGAATTGCCAATTAGTATTTTGGCTACGTAATTGATTAATTATTTTCTATGAAAAACAAGGGAGTAAAGGATTATCACAAAGTGGGCTTACAATTGAGGTTACACGTGAATTACAAGCCCAGCCCAAAGACAATGTTGTACACCAGGGTCAATTTTATGCTTCTTTATTTGTCAATTTTAAAAGAAGGAAAATGCAGCAGCCAGGTCACGAAATTAAAACGAAAAGAAATAGGGTTTTAGCAGCCACTTAAGGATTACCAAATAAGGACAACAAAATAGCTTTACTGTAAGTTATTCTCAAAACATGAAGCATAGGGGAAGACATATACATCATTGTCTTTCACTTTTGGTAGGAATGAGATGGCAAGTTATTGGGATTTGGATAGCTTACAAGTCAACAACGAAAATCCCAACAATCCTTGAGGTAGAAACAAATCGCGAGGTCGAGGCGTATTAACAATCAAGTATTGGTGGTGGACTACAATGGTTTAGTATTGAAATTCTTGCATCAGATCTTTAAGTTTGGATTCAAGGTAAGTTTTAAAGTTTTTTCTCCTCATAGGAAATTCTACTAGAACCCACGTGCTCTATATATATATATATTAAAAAAAAAAATCCTAAGCTATGTCTCCTTGTGCTCCCGTATTCAGTTTACTCTATTCTTATTTGGTAGTATGAAAATATGAAAGTCTTATATGCTTACATATATTATTAATTATTAGTTGACTTTGTTATGATATTTTTATTTAATTTAGTATTCATTCATGCATTAATGTGATCACATTCAAAAAGGGAGAGCTAGCCGACCTCCCCTTGCGTGAGTGCCACGACGCCAGGGTTAGCTACCCCACGCTCGTATGGGCTATTGTTTGTTGGGGAGATTGGCCGACACTCCCCCGTGCGTGTTGCTGGATCTAACTTACGTAGGGCCATAATGTGTAACTATTTTTCATAAATGTTATTTTATTAAAAATACTTAGTTTTCACCTTAAGTTTCAGTTATCAATTATAGACTCAGTTTTAATGTTTT